TTCTAGAATTACTTTCCTGTCTCTGTTAGCTTAGCTTTACTGGTATACATACTGTTAAACTAGGTCGAGGAGGTATCAGGCTGATAATTATCTAAAAATAACTGGTCTTAGATATAAAAAAAAAAGTAAGGCCAGATAATACTGCACAGCTATCTGTAAATAAATACAGATGAGTATTCTATTACTAAGCTTCTAAATGTATAGTTATTTAAAGATAGTATTATTAAGCATAAAGAATAGAACTAGCTAAGTATATAAGAAAGTATTCTTATATATTCTATCCTTTATATACTATACCATATACCATTAGGTCTGTCGTATACCGCCATGGTAGTTGTAGACCAGGATGGTATATCGTATACCATAGATCCGTGTGTATACCGTGGTCACGTGGTACGTGGCCGTTCTGGGCGTCGTAAAGATAATCGGGAATTGTACTAAATAACAACTTGGCTTTGCCCGAGCGCTGCCCTTTTCGGCGCTTTCTGCCTGGCGAGTCCGCCTTACTAGTAGATTAACTAGCAGGGGTCCGTAACAAATAACTCTAGGTATTCATGGAAACAAGGGTTTTCATATAAATAGGCAAGAATTCAATTAGCAAGGTAAAAGTGATTTCTCCAGCTGACAAATAGCATAGTCTGTAGGACTATAAAGTAATAATTACTAAGAAAAATTTATAAAAAAAAATTATCAAATTTTTTAAATTTAATTAAGATTTATTCAGAATCTGTAAATAAATTATAAGATTTATTTTTAAATAATTAAATATTCTTAAAAAACTTAATAATATTATATATTTTAATTTAATTTTAAATAATTTTAGTAAACTGGATAATTAAAAAAAAAGAGATAAATAATAAATTAATATATAAATATTAAAAAATAATTATTAATAATAAAATTAAGTTTTTTTAAGCTGAGGATTTTTATTGATTTTTATATAATATTATTTAAAAGTATAAGTATTTTTTATAAATTAATAATAATAATAAAAACTTTTTATATATTATAAATAAGAATAAAAACTTGTGATTAATAATTTTAATTTAAAAAATAATAATTAAAATATATTAGAGATAATATATCTTAATAAATTAATAATTAATAATATTTATTTTAATATAATTATTAAGATTTATAAAGATTTTGAGATTATTTTAAATATAAATAAAAATATAAAAATAATAAGTAATTTTTATTATAAATAAAAAAATTAAAATTATAAAAATTATTCTAATTTTTTTACTTTTTTCTCTGATTTTAAGAAGAATAAATAAGTTTTAATAAATTAAATTCTTTTATTTTTAATATAATAATAATTTATGAGATATTAAATATTTTTATATATAAAATAATTGTTTTTCTACTTATATTTTTTTCTATTATTCTATAATTTATAATAATAAGTAATAATAATTATTATTTTTTTTTATTTTTTAAACAGATGCGGGACATGCTCTTAAATATAATAATTTAAATTTAAAAAAATTTAGTAAAATAAAATAAAATTTATTTTTTTTTATTTAATAAAAGAAATATTATTTTAAAATATTAAAATAAATATAGAATTTTTTTAATTTCTAATTAAATCATTAATATACCTGTTTAAGTTAAGCTATAGTATCTGACTAGAATATAATAATATTTCTGATTAAAATAAAAATCTAGTTTTTAAATTAAAATTAAAATCTTTCAGTGAATTATTTTTTAATTAAAATTTTATTATTAATGAAAAAATACTATTTTTATCTATATATTAGATCTATATAGCTAATAATAGTAAAATTTTATATTTTTTTAATAAATACTTCTTGGGGGCTTTTTTAAATATATATTCTAGATTAATAATCTATTTCTAATACTTTTAAAGACTAAAATTTAATATAAATTAAAAAATATTAATAAATTTAATTTTTTCTTTTTCTTTATTTAATTTAGAGAGTAATAAAGAATATTTTAATTATATATTATTTAATAAATAATTTTCTTGAAAATAATTTATTCTTTATTATAAATTATTAATTTATTTTAGTGGATAAATATAGTTTTCAAGTTATTATATTTTTCTAATAATAAAGATAATATTTAATAATAAATCTATAAAAATTTAATTATTAACTAATTTTAATTTTTTATTATTTTAGCAGAGTAGCATCTTTCTCAGATAATTAAAAATAAAAAAATTAGAATATAATAAGATTTATTTATTAAAATAGAAGGCCTGTTAACTAAATAAAAAATTAATTATTAAATATTATAAATTTATTTAATAATAATAAAGATAATTTATATTTATAAAATAAACTGATTCTTGAGAAATTAATAGTTTTCTGTGAAGGGATCAGCACCTTATAAATACTGGGATAATATAGAATCATTATTAATAATCTCATGATTCCTATAACCACTACAACATGTCATCCTGATGATCTTTACCATGATAGCCGGGTTATTCTATCACTAATAACTATATAATAATAAACTATTTATATTTTATTAGTGATTAAATGCTGCTTTTTATATTGAACAAAATAATTAATTCTAGTAGACTTATATATTCTTAATATTTATTAGAGATTTCTAGATATTCCTTTAAATTATAATTAATGTTATTATTATATTAGAAATTCTTTTGAAATTTTCAATTTTATATATAAGAGTCCTGTCTACTAACTATTTCCAATATTTATTAATTAATATTAAAGATAATCAGTAAAGCTTATTTATTGAAAAATAAGAAATTTTTTAAAAGGATTCTTTAAATCTTTCTTATATATCTTATTAAATTCTGTCTAGATAATCTTTTTATATTTAAGTTTTTCTATTTGATAAAATAATTAAATATAATTTCAAAAAATTTCTTTTACATTATCATATAAAATAAAGCCAGCCTGGCCTTCTCTAATTATTATGATTGAAGAAAATTAGTAATCATAAATTTTTTAGAAAATTTAGGTTAAATTATTCTATCTTAATTATTTTATTATTGCTGAGTATATATCCGATAAAAACTGATAGTCTTATTAAATAACTAGTTACTTATAGTATTAATTAAAGAAAAAGATAAATAATTATAATATTTGATATTATATAAGTATTCATTAAATAATTTTATTTAATATATCTAAATTAGAATATCAAATTTGAGAGAAGTAAGAAAAGAAGTATAAGAAACAAATATAAATAATAAAATTAAGTAAGTAAGACAAAGCAAACAGAACAAATCAAACAAAATCATATATAATAAATAAAGTAAGTGAAAGTATATCATGTGCCTTGGTCATGTCGTTCGCCATCACATATACCATATTAATAGGGTTCTGGCATAATGTGTAGCGACAGTTGCTTTAGTACTGGGATAATCTCCATATACACTATTTATAATATGTAAATTACCAGAGAGGATTGTGCATGCATCAGAGTTCGTAAACAATGATAGAACATTCACTAGACTACAGTTAGTTCTTAGTAAGACCAGCTTAAGGGCGACTCAAGCATTAAAGCCAACCTGATACCCGAAGCCTTTGTTGTCTGGGTCATGGAGCGCAGCTTCCCCCAGTCCCCCTCCCCCCCAACAAACCCAAATACATAAAATCTGCGCAACTCCAGTACGTTCATTGGTGTTGATCAGGGATTAATAAGGAGAGAGGCGCCTCTCGCCAAGGTGGCTAAAAGGTTTGAAGGTGATTTGAAATACTACTGACACATCACCCGTCTTTCCCCGCATGCCCGCAGCCCTCTGGTTCCAGATCAATATTGCTCACTTGATCCTTGCTGGAGTACCTTTCTTACAATCAAGCATTTGGCGTGCTAAAACTCTTTCCTGCCGTTTCAATTACTGCCACCTGAATATAAATGACATACATAGAATAGATAGAGATCCGCTATGTCAAACAGGATTAAGTTCGCTAATATACAAGCACATGCTTTACGATGCTAAACAGGGAGACTAGTAGCACGATAGTGCTCAAACGCTCAAACGCAAGAGATATACAGTATGTGGGAGGAAGGGGGCCTGATCGTAGAAAAAAGGCGCTTCCTGTAGTTCAATTTGACCTAAGGAGCAGAATGTATGGGGGCGGAAGGAGATAAAGGTTGAGGTCTTTCAGTAAAGGTTTGTTTTTGATAGTCACCTTGCACGCCTCCAATATCTGGTTCGCAATATCTGCTTGCCTACTTACGGTTACAGTGACAAGGTACTGTGTTGATCCTTATGACGACGATGTTGGCTCCGGGTTAAAAGGTCAAAGATGTGCTGCTGCTGCTGACCTATCACTCACTGGCCATTCAGAAAATGTACATGTCCTGCGAGAAAGAGGGTCATATTCCATTTGCCCGTATATGTAGGCCTTTTCTTTTCTTTTCTTTTTTTTTTTTTTTTTTTTTTTTTTTTTTCTTTTTTTCTTTATGTTAATTTGTTTTTCCTTTCCGAGTCGTGGCGCATATGTCGTTGTTGAATAGTTCAGGGATGCTAGAGATTGTCTAACAATAGTTTAGAGCAAAACAAAAGAGAACGTATGAATCATATTATGAAGAGAGCACACAAGAAGAAAAAACGACGGATTGATTCTCATGTTACCTTATGTCCTCATGTTCCGGCTTCCTTCGGGGATCGGCAGAACTCCTCGTGGAGCCGGGACAACGGAATTCCGTCCCCCGAATCCCGACCACACCGGCTCCTGGGGTGTGCGGTCGTCCGGTTTGCTGTCTACTATTGAATAACTATCAAGTACGGAGTAACATCTACCATCATACTGCTACGGGAAAGGACAATATGGTCCCCCGAGCTGATTGAGCGAGAAAAAGCAATCAGCTGTAAGGTGTCGATCACAATTCTGGTTGCGGGTATAAAATGACGAGGTAGACTTGCGGAAAATACCATATGTTGTAGGCTTAGACCGCGAATTTCCCTTCCTCACCAGTCTCGCTTTATTTTAACATCTTGATTGGTGGCATCCTCTATCACTTCCATATTCACACCATCGTCGGATCGAAAAGTCATGGGTGCTGACTGGGAGGCTACCCTGGAGGGCGAGGCGACGTTGAACGTCGAGGCCAGCGCTCAGGGCAACATCGAGGCTGACGGAAGTCAATCCAATGCTTCCATCGGGATTGATCAAGCCCCCGATGGCAGCACCAAGGCATGGCTAGTTGCAGTGGGCGGGACATGTATCTTCTTCGCGACCCTAGGCTTTGCGAACTCTTACGGGGTGCTGCAGGAATACTATATGTCTCACCAGCTTCGAGAATACTCCGCCGACGATGTTACCTGGATTGGGTCGGTTTCCGTCTTTCTCCAATTTGGATTTGGCTCAATTGGCGGGCCAATGTTCGATCGGGTAGGCGCATGGGTAAGTTAGCTGGCGTTTCTCTTCCCTTTAACATATCTTCCACATTCAATCTAATCAAAATTCTTTTAAATAGATCATCCGACCCGCCGCTATCCTTTACGTCTTTGGAATGATGATGACCAGTCTCTGTCACAAGTACTGGCAGTTCATTTTAGCCCAGGGAGTTGTGCTGGGTATTGCAAATGGCTTTCTTCAGTTCCCCGCCATGGCCGCTGTGTCGCAATACTTTGACAAGAAACGCGCCTCTGCCCTAGGTCTGGTCGTCTCCGGTTCCTCCATCGGAGGCGTGGTGGTTCCGATTGCATTAACCCGAATGTTTGACCACACCTCACTTGGATTCGGCTGGTCCATCCGAATCATTGGGTTCATCATCCTTCCCCTGCTGGCCTTCGCATGCGTCACGGTGACAGCTCGACTCCCGCCTCGCCGCACGAATCTGTACATCGCCGCTGCCTTCAAAGACCCAACTTATCTTATGATTCTCGTTGCTCTCTTCTTCATGTTCCTCGGGATGTTTCCTCCTTTCTTCTTCATCCCCACCTACGCCGTAAGCCGCGGCATGAGCGTCACCCTTGCTTCATACCTGCTTGCCATTCTGAATGCCTCCTCGACCTTTGGCCGTGTCATCCCCGGCATCCTGGCAGATCGATTCGGCCGCCTAAACGCCTTCGCCATCGGGGGCATCATCAACGGCATAGTTACTTTCTGTTGGAACCGTGTAGAGACTAATGCAGCATTGATTGTTTATTCGGCTGTCTTTGGCTTCACCTCCGGAACCATTATCTCTGGGGGGTCGGCGGCCTGCACGATCTGCACGAAATCTCCCCAAGATGCGGGCACATATCTTGGGATGGCGTTGGCCATTGCCTCCCTGGCGGCACTGGCAGGTCCGCCCATCGCTGGCAAACTCGTAGATGTCTATGGAGGATACTTAGAGGTTTCCATGTTTTCTGGCGCTACTTGTATCTTTGGGGGCCTTGTGGCACTTCTGAGTAAGGCAACCACTCCAGAAGGGCTTTTTGGGAGAGTATAAGATCTCCAAATGTTACTCTGTTGTCTGTCCACAGCTCTTTTTTACTATCACTTCTTCTCGTTTTGTCCCGGTTCTTTATCCGAATAACTCATTTTAATTCAATCCAGGTAAATTCATGTTCTTATTATTGTAGCTGGAAGCCGAGGAGTAATCCACATCATTCTAGTAGAGATTACACTACTACATGCTATATATTCTTCACTAATGATTACTTGAATAAATTAATATTAAAGTAGTGAAGCTTTGGACTGTGTTGAGCTAAATATTATCAGCTCTAGCTGACCTGTATTGTCTCCTGACACTTTTTTATTGAAGAGATGTATACCTGTATATTCTATAAAAACATATTTTATTATTTGGATTAAAATTAATAACCCTTTTCGTCAGATTACTGCTGATCTCTAGTATTTCTATAAGATTAATTGTATTATAATTAATTAATATTAGAGTGGTTATACCTGACTGTTATACCTTAACCGTAACCTGACCATTAATCAATGATCAAATTAAGATATAAAGTTCACCTTAACCGTATAGTTAAGATCAGATTAAGGTTAAAAGATAGTTATTAACTGTTCTTAACCTTAGGTTAGGAAGGTCAAGTATAGTAAATAAATGAATAATTAATTATAAATTAATTGATGATTTTTATAGATTCTTTATAGTAGTATTTTATCAATAGTAATATATTTAAATATAACTTCTAATTATATGAGCTATTTATCTGTACTAGCTACTCTTACTACACCACTTTAGAATACTAATATAGATAATTAAGTAAGTTCTGTATTAGGCCTTAATAAAGGATTCCAGATAATAAATAAAAAAACTGTTAATTTATTAATAATCAGATTAAAATAAATCTGATAATCTTATATTTATTATTACTTGAATAGTAGTCACTCTCTTATAAAAGTTATATTAGGGGCAATATAAAAGATATATATATAAAAGAAATAATAAATATTATAAAATTTTTAATAAAACTGCGGATATCTATATAAATAGATAAAATACTAGAAAGATAAAAAAAAGATATAATATAAATATAAATATTAAAAATATAAAAATATTAATAAATACTTTAGATTATTTATAATTTATTTCTAGCAAAGAGCAACAGATAGATAATATATTATATTATATTTATATATATTATTTTATTATATAAAAGAAAAAGATATATTTATAATAAAAATTACTAGATTATATATTATTAATTAAACTCTGAGAATAGAAATATAAGTATCAAAATACTGTAAACTATATAATATTTTATTTATATAGATTAAGATATCTCTGTATTAAATATTTAAATTAAATAAATAAAACAAGCCCAATTTTTCAAATAACTAGTAATATAATATTTATAGATAATATAAACAAAACCAGCTCAGAGTATTATATAAATAAATTTTTTAATAAACTAATTAACTGGATATTAAGAAAATAAAAAATAATAATTTTATTTATTATAAAAGCTGAACTTCTATCTCTTATTTAAACTAGTAAGTAATTTCTATAATAAATTTAAATTTTTAAAATTATTTAATTTAATCCAGACCAACCTATTTATATTTATTATAATAACATACAAACTATATAAATTTTGATAAATCTATATTTACCATATCATACAAAACTCAAGTACGTGGATTTTTATAAAAATTAGCTAAAATAATAAATTAATATAAATAAAATTAAAATAAAATAGATTCTAATTAATAAAATACCTGCAGACAGATTAACTAAGCAGTTTAATAATTAAAAATTTTAAAAATTTATTTTATTATTTAAATATAAAAAATATTGAAAGCCTAATTTAAGCAAATTAATAAAATTAATTAAAATAACAGTTTTGTATATATATAAATCTGGAAAGATATATCAGCTGAAAATTATTTTTATTTTATTAATTAAATTTTTATTTATTTATATAAGATTCTTTATTTTTATGAATATCTAGAGTTATTACATGCTCCATATAAAATTATATGGAATATCTAATATTCACAGAATAAATTAGATTTATTTTTTAAAATTTTAATAATCTCTCTTTTATATATGATTTTTATATTATTTTAATCAGTTAATTATAATTTCTTTATTTATTGTTTATTTATGATCCTGGCCTAGATTCATTCACTACAGGCAGTGAATTGAAGATAAATAAAAATTATATTTTTTTATATAAAGTATATAGACTAAGTTTTTTAAATTATTTAAATTATTTAATTTATTTATTATTTATCTAAGAATTTATTTCTTTTTTATTTAGATAGTAAGAATATTTTCTTTTAATAAATTTATTAATTATACTTATCTTTATATATTTTATAAATTGATACCTAGTTTCTTATTTAGGACTAGTATTATGTGATCTAACTATATTATTATTTTATGATTACTACCTGACCCTACCTCCTCTGGTCAAGTAATCAAAGAGATATTATTATCTTTATATTAGATCTTTCTATACCAGACTGCCTATCCTTTTCGGCCTAGTGACCCTGAGCCACCTGACCCTTACTACTTCCATTCCCCCCCAGGGGATCCCGACAAATATTATATAAGATTTAAAAATAATTAAAAATAAATATTTAAAATATTAAGAATAATTTATTAAATAATATTATTAAATAAAATTAATAGAAAATATATTTTATATTAGCTAAGCGCGAAGAGAAGGAGTATTAAAAATAATAAATAATATTAAAATATATAATAAAATAAAAAAAAGAATATATAATATAAAAAATAATAAACTTAATATATATAATTAAATCTGCAGCTAGAAATTAGCTGATTAGATATATTAGGTATATATAATATAAGTAAAAGATAATAAAATAATAACAGAATTATATAATATAAAAAAAAGATAAATAATATTAAAAATTTTATAATTTTTCTTATTTTATACTTTAACAGGATTAATAATATAGAAACTTTTATTTTTATATTTTAATATTATTATATTATTTTATTTCAGTTTTTTTTATATTATAAGTATCTAGATAGTATTTTTAGATATAAAAAATCACACATTTATCTGTATAATATATAAGGAACTGATAGAAAAATTAATATTAAAAATAAGAAATAATATAATTATAATTAAAAATATTAATATATATCTAAAATACTTGCTTTATAATAAATATAAATATAAAAAGTTTTTAATAAGTTGCTGATACTCTGGATTATAATAAATATTATTATATTACAGATATCAAGGATTAATGAGAGACTAGTATTAAAAATATATTTAAAAATATTATAAAAATTTTTTAACAGATATATTAAGTATTAAGAGAATTAATATTATTTAAAATAAAGAATAATATAATTAAATAACAATATTAAAGTCTAGAAAAAATAAAAGATTAAATATATTAAATAATAATAATAATAATATAGAATCAGAATCAGACAGTGGTTTTAACTGGTCTAAAAATAATAAAAAAAAGAAAAAATATAAGAAACTGTTACGGACCCCTGCTAGTTAATCTACTAGTAAGGCGGACTCGCCAGGCAGAAAGCGCCGATAAGGGCAGCGCTCGGGCAAAGCCAAGTTGTTATTTAGTACAATTCCCGATTACCTTTACGACGCCCAGAACGGCCACGCATCACGTGATCACGGTATACACACGGATCTATGGTATATGGTATACCATCCCGGTCTACAACTACCATGGCGGTATACGACAGACCTAATGGTATATGATATGGTATACGGAGGATAGGATATATAAGGACACTCCTTCATGTACTTAGTTAGTTCTGTTCTTCGTGCTCAATAACACTGTCTTTAAGTAACCATACATTTGGAAGCTTAGCGATAGAACACTCGTCCGCACTTACTTACGGATAGCTGCGCGGCACTATCTGGCCTTACTTCTCTTCTCGTGTCCAAGACCAGTTGTCCTTAGATAGTCATCAGCCTGATACTTCCTCGACCCAGTTCGACGGTACGTATACCAGTGAAGCTAAGCTAACCGGGACAGAGAAGCGATCCTAGGGTTTGACACATTGAGCACCAGTCAGTACGAGTGTTCACCAGTTATAACCATCCATCATGTCGACTACTTCAAGTTCACCGCGCACTCCGCAGCAGGGCTCCAGTGCCCAAGGAGGAGGGCAACAGCAAGGCCCGACGACGCAGGAATTGATGGGTATGGTTAGTCAGTTGCAAGAAAGCATCACTGCCCTGGAGCAACGGAACCAGTTACTCGAAGGTCGATTGGCAGTCAAGTCTGTCAAAGTCAGACCACCGGAACCGTTCGACGGCAATCGATCAAAGCTTAGGGCTTTCTTGACCCAGTTAGACTTGTACCTCAACATGAACAAAGAAAAGCTCAAGAATGAGGTTGACAAAATCTTCTTCGCGTCCACCTATCTAACCGGAACGGCGTTCAATTGGTTCGAGCCGTTCATCCGCGATTATCAGGAAAAGCCGGCAAAGGATCAGGACGACGATACCAAACGAATCTTCTCTAGCTATGCCAGGTTCAAGGAACACCTCGAACAGACATTCGGAGACATCGACGCAGCACGAAACGCTGAACGAAAACTATGGCGACTCAAGCAGACGGGATCGGCATCCAAGTATGCCTCCGAATTCTTGCAAGTCATCAGTCACTTGGACTGGGATGAAGACGCCTACGTCGCACGATTTGAAGAAGGACTCAAGATGGAGATCCAAGAAAAACTCATCTGGCAAGAACGACCGGACACATTGCAGCAAATGATCGCAGCGGCGGTCAAGATCGACAATAAATTGTACGAGTACAACACAAAACGAAAGGAAGGCCGATGGACCAGTGGGTCTATGCCTCGACGAAACAACCAACAGGGCTACCGAGCCAATGATAGACGGCCAGCACAGCCTAGAAGCCTGGGATACGAGGATCCCTACGGACCAAAACCAATGGAGCTGGATGCAACGCAGCATCAGACTCGACGAAATGGAGTCTCCAAGGAGGAGCTCGAAAGGCGCA